GAGTGGATGGAGGTATTAATTCGGGTTGGTTTGGTGATTCATTTAATGCGTTTAAGGTCTAAAGCACATTTTAAAAAAGCAGTTTAAATCTGATTATTATATAAGTGTGCTTTTAATCATAATCATGCTTCCTGCGCATTGTTGTTGTTTAATTATTCAGTCGCTTTGCTTAATTATGCTTTGATATATTCTTATACGTTGTTACAGTTTCTATTTAAATATATGATTAACGATCTAATCACCTATTGAACAAATTTGTCTAATTTTCTTGCGATTTTGCTTTATGTAATGGGCTGACTGCCCGTATATATATTATTAAATAAATNATAAATAAATATTTATTTTTTAACATGTAATTTTTTTTGTGAAAATTGTTTTAAAAAAATTGAGCTAAGGATTTAATATTTGTTCCGCAACAGCTACCAGAAATCGATTTTTTCATCTTATCATCTTAGCAAGTGTAATGTCATTTTTGTAATCCTTTGCTTCATATCTACTGTTGATGATGATGAAGCATTTTTACGTTAAGGAGATATGGTGTTATATATTTTATTTTAATTAAAGGAACCTTCACCCCATAATTTCCTGTTTTTGTATAACATTGATACTCTTGGGAACAAGTTAGTGCATTCGGACTATATATTTATAAATAAAAGAAGAGAACTACTTTTACCTATACTGGATTCTTCACTTTAAAGATACCAATTTCAGCCGCTGATGATACGTAAGGCAACCAATTTATATATGAAAATAATCATTATTACATAATGCCGGCCGTAAAATCCTCCAGATCAATAATCTATGTGTGTTATTCTGTGAAAGAACACAAGTGTTTTGAAGGTTGACTTAACTGTTTAAGAGGAATGAGGTGCGACGGTAAGAAATTCTCTTTTGCAAAGATTTTTAAAGCACACTCAAATGAAAATTACAAGCAATAACAGTCTTCGCATTACTGTAGTACGTTCTAATTTACATGAGTTGAGAAAGTACGGCAAGCAACTATACTTATTAACTTATGGTATATTTTTCAATTAATATGTAGTGAGTTCATTTAAAAAATAAATCTTAGCGAACCGTTTAAATAGTGAACCTGCACATGAGAAAATATTTTTTAAACGTACACACTATTATTTTACACAACAGTTACTTTTCCTTTCTATATTATCCCTGCTAGCGACCCATTTCGTGATATTAACTTACCCTTTTTATGTATCTGTTCGTCGCACAAAATCGTAGGGCTTCTAAAATACGTTACGTAACTGAATTGCAGAAAGGGTCGGTTACGAGCGGGACTGAAACCTGAAGAAAGACGGTACAAATATTTCAAATTCTAAGTCTGTTTTTTTAGGAACTGTGCTATAAAACAGCAGTAGATATAAACGTAAACATAATATTTAATCGGTTTGTCAACAACAATAGGCATTTTTAATATATGTGTGTACAAAACCATACAAAAAGGAAACAGCAAAAATGATAAAGTCACGTGATGGAAAAAGATGTTTTCTTTGTTTGTGAAAATAAAAAGGGAGCAATACAATACGAAAAATGCCAACCCTAAATTTGCAATTGATATTTTTGTCGCACTTTCCATAAAATGGTAGTGAAACCAATGGAAACATAAATTCAAAAGGTACATGATTGGCCAACTCCCCTTGTTATACTTGAGACAAACGAGCTTTCCTGGTTCGTATTTTACTGACAATGAACTTCCCGTATACGCTGTATGCTTCAGTTCCTCATTTTATTTATTTTTTCATTTATTCACATACAGGTCAAAAAAAATTTCATAGACTAAAATAAGTATACATTTCTTTGTCGGCTTTGCACAAAGAAAAATGTATAATTTAGAGCTGAAACTATCTCCTGCTTCTCTGAAAACTATCTTTAATATGTAAACATGCATGCGTCAATGTTAACGACATACATTTTCTTAAAAAAAAGTACTTTAGCGATAGCGATACCAGATAGGTATTGTTCAAATGAATAATTTTACAAACGAAATGACCTTTTACAGCNTAAGGGGAATCTGAAGAAGAAGGCGGAGATATTGTCGGAATTATTCGCAACTAGTCGCTTTATTTCGCAAGTTTTATCAATCCCATCATAAGTACACATGCGTATATCATTCTCCGTTTGCTTTCTGACAGAGAGGATCTCATGTAAACATGCATGCGTCAATGTTAACGACATACATTTTCTTAAAAAAAGTACTTTAGCGATAGCGATACCAGATAGGTATTCTTCAAATGAATAATTTTACAAACGAAATGACCTTTTACAGCATACTCATTTCAGTGGTACTAGAAATATTAATTAAAAAAATCTTAATTATGAATAAACAAAATTTAACATTCGCCTCGTCATATCTTTTGAAATTGAATGAACACTTTCAAATAGTATTACAAATTATTCGTATATAATGATTTTCTTCTCTGTTTATTTAGTAAACACTATTAATAACAAAAAAAATTCCGAAAAGCCTTGCAAATTCAGTATACATAGATCCATGAAGTGTACTTTTCACAGCATAAGGATCTCCAATCAAACTTTAACAAGTGCAAAAGAACATTTCAACACTTCTGGGTTTAACGTCTGAATATGCATCTTGTGACTAGATATAAAACTGAAAATCATCTAAAATTTAACTAACGTTTATTGCAGCTTATATGCCTGAGATGTGCGTCACAACTTGGATGAATACTTTTACTCCCTGAAGTGTATCTAATGCGTATATAAAAGCATAAAAACAGTTTACGGTTTACCTGATCCCGCGTAGGTATGTTTATGAGCAAAAGATACCGTTGCCGATAGTAAAACGCAAGGACTCTATCGGGAGAACAACGAAAACCCTCCTCTTTTATTTCTCTCTGGAAACATAGATATCGATTCCACGAGAAATATCTCTACGATTGGTTTCCTGATACGTCCCATATACTACCCTAGACAAAAATTTTCAGTCTCTCAGTCCTTCAGCGTCTCTGAGAGCGTCTNCATTACCAGCGTGCAGGGCCGTCTTTAACCTATTGGAGGCCCTGGGCACATAAGCCTACCGGGCCTCCTACAGCTTTCACAGAGAATCATTTTGGTTTGTTATTTGTTTCTTTATATTCACATAAATGAATATACAATTGTAATATGACTCGAAAAACTAACTCTAATATCATTCTCAGGTTGGTACTTAAAATTGTGTTTTTTGAAAAGGCACCCTTCTAGTTTTCAGATATGCAAAATCGTCAACCAGTTGTTCAAACTGTTTGTCTTTAAGCGTATATTTTTTATTCTTTTCCGTTTAAGGAAGGAGCGTTCGCCACTGCAGTTAGTTACCATCATGTTTAAAAAGATTCTCAATGCAATTTCTACATTTGAAAATGCGTCTCCAACTCGGTTTTTTATCAAAACTTCTGGAATACTATTAGTTTTCCAAATATAGACATTCTATTTCTAACTCTTTCTCGTTAACATCTTCATAGCAGCAAATTCTTTGCAACTTTGTCTCGGGATTTGGAGTTTTCAAGCGAAAAACAATGTCAACAATAACCAATGTCCTTGTACAAACTCAATCGCTGTTTTAGATGCACGCTTGGGATATCACTTAT